AATGAATCAGCTATTTAAAAAATCTACTCAAATATCTCAACCTTTCCAACCATGCAGATTTTGGTTATTAGCTAACTATAATCCATGCATAATGAGTTTTGAAGTAGCATTTATGCCTTATATGTTGTCACATATATTATAATTTCTGCTGTAGTTGATTATATGCAATCACTATAGTACACATTATGGCATATATGTGGCCATATATATATGTCTGTATGTAATTATCATTATATACTTAATGTGTGCCCAACTGCTCCGATAATCACTGAAGGCTTTTTGTAGTATCCTTTGCTTTAAACACTGATTCTAGTTACATGAGAAGAAAAAAAACAAAGGCTGTCTTATTGGTTTGTTTTTCTTCTCAGAAAAATCTACTTGCAGATACTAACCATCAGATATGAGAAGTTTCCAAAAAGTAGTTAATGAGTTTCTTACAAGGTACAGAAACACAGACAATAAAACCCAAATAGTATGAGTAATATTTGTCAGGAGGGGGAGAGTCTGAAAAACAAACTGAGGAAACCAAAGAAGCAATACGCAGAAAATGAGAGCTGGTATGGACAGCAGTGTCCCTGTCATTATGTTTGAAATGAGACATTCACATGGACTATGGAGTCCAGTGGAGGAAAAGGGACAGCATGGCTTTCCTCTCAAAAAGGAGCAAAAGCCTTGGCCCTTGTTGTGACCGGCCTTTATTGGGCTTCTTAGCACATTGTATAATGTTCCTCATTTACTATGCACAGGTTGCTTTAGGTGGTTACCTTTTACAGAGAACAAAGGAGCCAATGTGGCTAATCACATCACAGAAGAGGGATATTTGCAAATGAAAAGGCAAAAGTGGTTGAACTGGTTACACTGGTCCTAGAAAGATTTAGCACAGATTTTAGGAAGTTACTTTGTAAATGTTTGCCACGAATCCAGGTGAGGGAGTTCTTAGCAAAAATCAAGACCCAAAGCGACCTAGGTGTATTGCAGGCCTGATTCCCCATGGAAGAACCTATTCCTGGGTGTGGGTCCTGTGTATCTCCCAGTGGGAGCTGGGTCCAAGCCACATAGAACAGTTTGCTACAGAGAGCAATCTCAAAAATTAAGAGAAAGATTTTTAAAAAAGTCGATGTGGAATTGGAGAAAGAGCCTATGAAACACCAACAAATTTGCGCTATTAATATAATTTTACAGATGAGGAAACTGAGGTACCAAGATATTAAGTAACTAGCCCAAGATTACCCATTGACAACCAGTTCTGTCAGCATTTGAGCCAAGACAGTGTGGCTCTCACGTTTGTGGCCTTGAATCCTGTGCTCCATGCTCCCCAAATTATGTTGGTTTGCACCATGTTTCTCCTTGAATAATTTGTTTATGGAAATAATGGAATGGATTACCTCTAACTCATTCTATATCTTAAGTTTCAAATCTTACTGTAGCTACTTTTATCTTTTTTGTCGTGTTCCATTTGGGATATTCATAATAAATACTATCTTTTCAAGATAATAAGGTGTTACTTTTCTCAAAGATCCTGTTCTCTCTACCAAGGCTCTGGGATGAATATGAAGGTCCCATCCAGCATGGTTTCTGCCCCACCTATTGGTCAGAAGCCACTTGCAAACTCAAATTTATAGAATTAGAATTAGAATTAAAACTACTGTACAAGAAAAGATGTAGATGATTCCACACATTTAAAATTTTTGTGACCTTATTTCACTTACTGATTCACATATGAAAAAACAATTTACAAACATAGAAATGTGAATTAAAAAAGGGTTGTTGTTCATTTTTCTTTCTTATGTTCTTTTCTCCACTAAGAAGATACTGCTAAGTGAATGGAGTTCTAATTTCTGGGGATATGGACAATAGAGCACTAGTCTCAACTTTACATGTTTATAAAAATAAGAACAGCCTGTTTATTGTTTTGTGTGTGTGTTTTATAAGCACAGCTAGTTAGTACCTGCCGTAGGTCCCCACATACAGGTGGTAGGTAAACAAATAAACACAGAAAAGCTCTCATGCTGCTTTCCTTTTGCATCATTACAGTTCAAATCAGCAACTATGTGTATTTTGAGCATCAGCATCAGGGACTGAACACGTACATCTGAAGCATAGTAATCCACAGGCTGCAAAGGATACAACCTCAGTGAACAAGTCTGGTGAGTGATTTTAATAATGGCCTTGATTTTCCATATCTTCCTGTGTCCACTCCTCCCCTGACTCCTCCCCCATCACTTACATCAGCCAACAAGTTTTTAGTAAATTTGACATAAGCAAAAGTTTGAAAAATCCCTTACATAGCAGTGTTTTCTTTTGACCTCTTGCCACTGCCATGAGAACATGTATAGACTAGACTAGAGAGGGACATGAGAAAGACGTATGATGAGAAATCAGAGCCATCCCCAATCAGCCCACACCCAGGCAACCCCACACATGTAAGACAGCACAGCCAGGGTCAGCTGGGCTCCTTCAAGACTCTCAGAGGGCTACAGGTTTATGAACGTGCCCCGTTAACACGAGGGAGGTAATCTCTCAACCCATCTGCATATGACTGATAATAAATGATGACTTCTTTTAGCAACCAAAATTTTTGGCAGTCTATTATACCTAATTTTTTGTGATAATAGCCATTTTATACAGTAAGAAAGAGAGAATATTCAGAAAGGACAGGAGAAGTGACAACTTTAATGAGATATGAGAAATCTTGTCACTTCTAAGACTCACTGCATTCATTGAACTCCTGAAAACCTAGGAAGCTTAAGTCCTGGTCTTGTGCAGGTGCCCTGGAAGGTAAATGTCAATATCTGTGGTTCACATCCACAGATACAAGTCAGAGGAAAGAAAGCAGAGCAGAGAAAATCCAGTCTAGATATCAGAATGGAAAGAAGGCCTTCAAATGTACTGTTTATAAATAAGCTATATTTTTGGAATGCTTAAATAAATAATCATTAGTGTAGCATATATTTCCAGTTAATTTTTGAAACTTTCATTAAGAAAATATATATTATGGTCACTGAAACAACTAGACAATGCACTTCTCATCAACTAAAACATAAAAATGTTATTTAAAAAATTGTCAGGTAAAGATTCTAAACATTACTTATTTATTACTTAAGACTGGAAAAGAATTAAATATTTATATTTCATATAGAGAAAGACAGAGTCTAAAAATCAGAGATTACCTCTGAAAAAATTTCTAAACAATTTTTTAAATTAAGAAATATATTTTTAAAAATCAGAGTCTTTTAAAAAAGATTTTATTTATTTACCTTTAGAGGGGAAGGGATGGAGAGAGGGAGAGAAATATTAATGTATGGTTGCCTCTTGTGTCTCCCCTGCTGGGAACTGGCCTGCAACCCAGGCATGTGCCCTGACTGGGAATTGAACTGTGATCCTTTGGTTCACAGGCCTGCGCTCAATCCACTGAGCTATGCCAGCCAGGGCAAGTAAAAAATATTCTGAACACATAAAATTGGAAAGAAATGCCCAAATAACTATTTTGCACAAGCAACTTTATGCAAATAAGTGGTAAATATATGTCTGTAATTCAAAATACGCACTGGACATAATTGATTCAAAATATAGCCAACTTGCTGACATTAAGAGAGAGCAGATATACAATATCACATGCAGAAAGTATAAAAGGTAGATCAAAATTAAAACTAAGATCTCTTTTTTCATTAAGTATGAAGAAAGATGGTTTGGAAGGGAAAACTAAGAAACCAAGCGAAGGTACAGTAAGTAATCACAACACCAGATGATAATGAAGACTAAATATATCAGTAATCATTATAAATATATATGCATTAAAGTTATTCATTAAAAGACAATTTTAAATATGATATAAAACAACCAACTCTAAGAGATTTATAAATATAATGATTTATAATTTATAAATATAAATATAATACATAATGACTAGATTACATAGTATATAATGATTAGAACATATAATGACTCAAAAGGTTGATAATAAAAATATACTAGGAAAATACTAATCAAGGATACCTGGTATGCAATACCAATACAGTCTCTGAGGTATTATTAAGGATGAAATATGCTTATTTAAAAAAGAACAAAAATGATAAAATTAACTACTCATCACAGAACATTACTACTCAGAACTAGTCTTCAATGGCTGAAATTAAAAATAAAAACAAAAGAAAAACTTACAAATAGAGTTTGATGACTCTATAATCACAGAGATTTTAACACCCCTCTCTCAGAAAGTAACATATTTTTATAATAAATAATGATTTCATTTTGTAACTAAACATTATCTGATGTTCAACAATATAGATATATAGAGAATATATCCCTACTATCTCTCTATTGTGTCTAGAGATTTCATTCCATTCAAACACACAGAGAAATTTTACCAAAATTAACAAGCTAACCCACTTAAATAAAATGGATAACACCTTAGAATGATAATGAATTTGTCCAAACTGTTTCAAAAAGGAATAGGTCTATGATGAGAGTAGGCTCATAATTATTAAAGAAATCAGGTTAGATATTTACCTCTGCATTCCTCTCCACACACATACACAAAAGGTACAGTTTGTTTCACAGGAAATGTTTACCAAAACTTCAAGAATATGATAATCCTCCTCTTACTCAATATTCAAAGTACAGAAATAGAATAAATTACACTTTTACGAGCTACTTTATGCAGACACTTTATATAAGACACTTCATACACTTTTTTAATACGCCAAGGCTCATTACAGCTGGTATAACTTGATATAATAAGTGGAGATAAGGAATAAAAAATAATATTACAGACTAATTTTACTTACATATCCCACATAAAATTTTATGTAACTAAATCACAATGTAAAAGTAATTCTAGGATTGCAAGAATGTGTTATTTCTACTATAATTTATAGGATACTGACCCCAATGTACCACTATAAAATAAATATTAAAACAGATGTGTTAGTATTAGACCTTATTTTTTTACATGATCCTATAAACTGCTTCTGTTTTTTTTCTTAAACCAAAGTATTCAGTCTCTGTAAAGACCATCAAAAATTGCCAGTGCCAACTATATTTCAAGTTGTCACAGCGGGGTATTGGGAGAAGTTTTCAATGAGCAATAATCGCACCTCAGATAAACCTCATTGGCTACGATACTGCCACTGCGCAAAGCTAAATAGCGCAAAGCTAAACTGCTTCTTGTATAGTCACAATTTAAAGTTTGACAATAGGAATTGGTTTTTATGATTCCAACTCATTACTCAACAGCTTTTGTAAGCACTTTGTATATAGTTTATCCTCAAAATAATCTGTGTGGTAAATAAGTGAAAGAAATTTAGAATTTGGAAAATTAATTGAAAATGAAAAGAATGATTTCCATTGGTTACTCCGTGTCAGTCACCTCACAGAATGAACTTGAAGTCCAGGCTCGGGTTTCAGACTGACAGTTTCCCTTTAACACACCTATTCATACCTTGGCTGCTCTCGTATTATGCAATGTCACTGCCTGTTACAGTTTCATGAATACACATTAAGACATATTTACTAAAGTGCAGTTCTACAGGCAAGAGTTTCAATAATAAGGACATTATACCTTATACCTTCGTGTTATGAATATGCTAATTTTGCTATAAAAACCCAGCAAGCACACCTAATTTTATGTTTAAAAATAAATGTGCAAAACAAATCTGTTGAAACACATAAATACAACTCAATAACCAGGGAAATATTTTGCATAGTAAGGATACTTCTTGAGACAGAGGTTCGTGTTAGGAAACTCCTCCTATAAATCCTGGGTACCACACAGCATTAAGTGACTGCAAGGAGACCAGCTCATAAGTTTTAAGCAAATGTGCATCAGTCTCTGCTCTGCATCCTCCAACATTACATTTCTGAAGAAGTGACCTGATACTGGGTCGACACAGAAAACTTCTTTTGCCAAGTTTTCACTCTTGAACCTTCCTGTGAATGAGAAGGGAAGCTCAGGCAGCATAATAATTCAATGTTGCTGCACATGAAATACCATGTTTAAGAGATGAGATATTCAAATAATATATGAAGCCATAAATACACTCACTTTGTGGCATACTACACATGCAGTGTAATAAAAATTTAGCGATGCTGCCATGTAGAATGCACACCCACGATTTTGGCCCAAACTTTCAGGAAAGAAATCTTTCATTTTAATTTTTTAATTCAATTATTTATGTATTTACATTTAGAAACAAAAAATGATTATTGTATTCCGAGGTATTATTTTGCATACAGATATCCGTATTGCTTTCTAAAATTATACTTTTAGTGTATAGTCATAAATGCAAGACTTAAAAATATTTATATAGATACAGAATTAGTACTACCCATGTACAATATGCATCCTTATTTTCCCCTCAAAAATGTGGGCAAAAGTGCACATTGTACATGTCAAAACATATTTTGTGACCGTATGAGCTCACTTTACAGTCCATGTTCCTGGTTCTGGATTTGTATAATGGTGATATTCTTAGCACACTTGTCCCAGTGCATATGAAGTCATCAGTGGCACGGTATGTAACTAATTTTCCTCTTTCATTGTTGAGACATATTAGGATTTACTAGGACTCACTTTTTGCTGTGTAAAAAGTGCAATTATCTAGTTTCCCCATCTTCCTACTTCCCTTTCTTTTGATATCCCTGTATATTACAAACTGTTAACACTGGTCATTATCCATGTGTTTTTGCCTACATCCTCCAAACTGCCTTACTCAAAGATTCGATATAATTCTAGTTCTTGCAATGAATTATGAGTGCAAGTGAACTCACTCTCAGATTAGGAGTATCTGGTATGCTTCCTTCTTCTCTTCCCCAGTTTGCTGACAAGTTCCTTAGAGGAGAAACATGGTGGAAGCACAAGATGAAAGCTTACCCAGAGAACTTCACAGCCTGCCTAGGACTACAAAGTAAGAGACAAATAGACGTCTGTCGTGTTAAGATAGTGAGATTTTGTTCTTCTTTACTAGAGGAAATTACCCATTTACTGACCTCCAGTTCTCTTTTCCTTCCTCTCACCTTTCAACTCATATTTACTGGTCACCCTGCATCACGCATCAGGCAATGCCTCACAGATGTGGAGGTGAGAAACTCAGGCTCTGTCTTGAGGTAGCTCACAAGATAATATGGAGTAAACATGAAGAAGCCAAGGAGTGCCATACCTTTTGATGAGTGCTGTTGTGGAGTTATCCCTACAGACTCAGACACACAATGGACTCTAGGAGAAGCATCCTAGGGAAAGTGATGCTTGGTTATAGTGGCAAAGAGCAGGGGAGGACTTATCCAGAAAGACGTGGGGAGAGAGGTATTCCAAACCCAGAAAAGAGCAAGTGTTCTTCAGGGCTCCGGCTGAGTTACTCAGAATTTTCTTTTCTTTAGGACATTTGCTGAGGACAATAACCTGATAGTGAAGATTCTTAAAATATATATATATTTATTTATAGACAGAGGGGAAGGGAGAGAAACATTATCGTGTGTTTGCCTCTTGCATGCCCCCACTGGACACCTGGCCTATAACCCAGGCATGTGCCCTGACTGGGAATCGAACCAGTGACCTTGGTTTGCAGGCCAGTGCTCAATCCACTGAGCCACACCAGCCAGGGCAGATAGTCATTCTTGACTCACCATTGCCTTAAAGTGCCCACATCTAATGAATCATCCAGTCCTGTGGTTTTCATCTTCTTAATGCCTGTCAGATTTATCTATTTCTTTTTCTTCCACCTTCTGAGAAGTTACTGTTGATTACCTACATTTCTCATCTGAAAAGCTATGTAATTGGTATTAAAATTTCAGTTTACCTTCAGCAGTCTTACATACAATAGTGTTGTCTTAGTGAAATTCAAATACAATCTTCTCTCTTCCATTGCCCTGGGGTGGGGAAGTCTAAGCTCTTTGTCTTCGTATGTAAATCAACTTGATACTATGACCTCAGCTCACCTCCCTAACCTCGCCCTACCACTGTGGCATCTCACAATGCGCAGTCTAACAAAACTGATTCTCTGTACTTAACCCTAAAATAGCATTTACTACCTCATACAATCCTGCATCTTCTGTGTGTACCTGATGGCAAATAAAATGCAAGCTCACACAGCTCTAAAGTGGATAATGTGCCACAGAATCTAGACAAGAGGGAATAAATATTGTTGAGAACTGTCGCATGAAGAGCCTTTCAAACCGTTACAGGGTCTAGATACCCGCAGACTTCCAAATAACCCCGGGATTTGTTTTCATTTCAGCACCCAGCCCCGACAAGTTACTGGTTAGTAAAGACAAGTCTGAGAAAGAATTTTGGAGGGCTTCTTGATTCGGATATCCTCACGCCATGTCTTTGAGTCTGAGTTTTTATTGTTTTGAGATCCTGAAAGAGGAGAAAATCTGTGCTTACTGTCCCAGCTCCCTCCTAGCTTCTTATCTCTGTAACAGAGCAGGAGCTGTTAGCAAACTAGATGAGATCTAAGATATTGACCAGGCCTTGTTGGCAAGAGAACAAAACTGCTGTGAGTTCAAGGGGATTCTGCTCTGTTGGACTCTCTGTGGGTTTCTCATCTCATTCTTGAATGTACTGCATCTCTTGACCAAGGCATGCCCTGAAGGGAGAAGCCCTAGGAGACCTTTGCTTACCCAAGACCCCAGGCGCCACAGGAGAACAATAAGGCCGTCTGGGAAAAGCAAATAGCCGGATAGTCACTAGGACTGGGGCTAGCGACCCCCCGCTGATAGAACCAATTTTCACATTTAGCCTTTGTACTCTGCTTCTGCCCCATAGATAGAACTAATTACCGCATTCTGCTTCTGTATCCCGCTTTGCCACGTAGACAGGAAGACCCCTAGGCTATATAAACCCCCAAGAATCCTTTGTTTGGGGCTCAGAGTTTGGAGATTGACTACTCTGGACCCATGCACGTTAATAAACCTTGTACTCCAGAATCCCTCGGTGTCTGGTTGCTTCATTTTCCTATAACAGTTCCACAAAGACCTTGTTGTTACTTGAGCCCAATCCCACCTTGATTTATTTTCTTAGTGTTATAAGTCAGAGGGCTAAGATTTCATGTGGAAAAAGAAGATAGAAAACAATACATACAAGGTTTGCTTGTTTGTTTGAAATACTGTTTTGACCTAGTTTTTAGGTTGGGTCAGAGGCCAATCAATTCTGCTGTTGAGCAGTTGATTATGTCCACACCCCAATTACTTATCTTAGAGGGTTTTCACACCCTGGGGCTTGTATGGGAGTTCCCTGATCACTGCAGGGCCAGGAACCAGACAACTGAGGACCCCCTTATAACCTGGAAACCCCCAAACTGTTCAAATTACCAACCCATAAAGAAATCCGTGAAAGCTCGCTAACCTTACCCAGGTTGCTATACAAATAGCTGCTTTCTACAGCTCAGCTTGCTGTTCCTCTGCTTTGTGCTTCTCCAGTGTGGCTCTGCCTAGCAGCCTTCTCTTGTCCAGAACTATAGGTAACAAAGAGTTCTATCAAAGTGTTGTGTCTTGGTGTTAAAAAAAAGGTAAATCTTATAAAGCAGCTGATAAGAGAGGAATAAAAAGTTGTGCCTCTCTTAAATCCCAAAGTAATGTCCTAAACCAGCTTTTACAAAAGTTCTGCATAAGGCTCTCCATATTTGCCAAAAAACTGTTTGCCGTATGACTTTCCTTCTTCATACACATACTTTTTATAGTAATCCCATCAGAGATAAAAAACAAAATCATTATAAAAGGTAGGAAAGTATTCCAGTTTTTCTGCATCCTTGACCGTAATGTCATCAACTTGTCATAAACACCCTTCACTCATTGCTCCAGTATATTAATGTAGGGCTGGTAAACTGGACAAGTATATACATAAGCATAGACATTTGGGCACAAAACAGGAGGAAGGGAGATTCGGGTCCTTCCACAGCTCTGGTAGTTGGTATTAGCTGATATGGGACTCCTTGGCTCTTTTATTGTTATCTCTTTGCTTATTTAAATTTAAAGGATTGCCCAGGAGAAGCAAGGTTCTGTTCCAGCAGGAAAGTAGGTGGTTAGATAACGGTAGGCTACCATTGCAGTATTAAAAGTTAAGCAAAGCTCAGGGAATTTAAAGCAATACTTAGTAAGTAACTATGTAAAAGTTCAAATTGCTTCTTTGGGGCTATGAGAGAATTCC